AGTTTCATGATATAGGTGAAAAATGGAATAGAAAGGAAATAGAAATATTTCTCATGTGTGTGTTTGATTTCTGACATTTGAGTGTTATAAGTCATGGAAATAGAAAATTTTCCATTATTAGCAATATTAGTTTCAAAACTACTTTTGGAAAAATTACACTAAGCTGCTTAAAATTCTACCAAATAACATAACTGAAGTATATCCTTTGAAATTTTAGCCATTAGTTTTATATATACAAATAATGAATGTAATTGATGCCACAATTCTAATATATTTATTTCCAGTATAAATCTAGAAGGATTAAAGTGTACTTCTGTGTCAGATTTTATTTTTGTCAACCACACACATGCACAAAAAGGAAACAGAATCAGAAATAAAGACCTATTTCAAAGGAGTTCCTGGCTGCCATTCTGAAATTCTTGATTGGGCAAGTAGAGAATGTGACCCTAAAATAAAGCAGGATCAGAGGGAAAAGTAGGTGGCAATGCCTATTCACATTTCTGGGCCACTGCCCACTTATGGGCCCCATGCCAGAGATGACTTTGGCATTCTGCGCAGGAGATGCTGCCCATCCAAGCCTCTATTGGAGAAAGCAGGGGAAAAGCTCTGTACCAATTGGTTCCTTGAAACTTTAAGTATATGAAAAAAAAAAGAGCTTTGCTACTTGGTTTGTGAACCAAGAGAGAGAGCTGGACACTGGAAGGAGTTTCTGTATCTTTCTTGGTAAACATTAGAGCAGAGTAGTGCTGAATTATAATGAAAGAATAGATTTAAACAAATATGCACACATACACACAAGACAATGTTGGGATGCAAAAGTAGAAAATATTTGGAAAGAAGAAAGTTATTTTACAACTTAGCAAATTCTTAGCATATTTTTACATCATAAGTTTCTGACACAGTAAATGGAAATTTTTAGTCTTCTCCCTGAGTTAGATTGGTTAATTATCACAAGATTTTATTCTCAATGGCGTGTGAATCTAAAATTTTATATTGTCTGAGTAGGGAGTTCTGTGGCAGGTAAAGTTCTCAACTTCTGAAGAACTCCCAGACATGTCAAAAGTAGCCAAGGAAAATCATAATATTCCACCTGCATTTTTCAAGTCACTTCACGTAATGCTTTATTTTTAAAAAAGTAATGAAAGTTCACATAACTATGAACACTGAACAAAGTCATGAAAGACACTAATGACATATTCCATAATTATAATAAGGTTGTTTTTAGTCTATCTATGCATTCATGGCTTTCTTTTCTAATAAATATGTACCTCTGAAAATGCCTAGTAACTGTGTAGTAGAAAGTAACTGGTCATTCTAAAGTCAGTTTCAAATGTGCTTCTTCACACAGCTGTACACACATGTGTATGAACACAATTCTTCTTTGCATCTGCTCCAAGTTAGCAATATTTCATAAAGTACATGGCAAGAATGGCACCTTCAAGTGTTAATCTGAACATAAATCTATACTTTCAGTAGGTTGTGGCACATATACTTTGTTCCACAGAGGAATCTGATGTACAAAAAAAAAAAAAGGGCAATGTTGAATTTTCTTACTCCAAAACAAAGCTCTTTTCAAACTAAAGTAACTTAAGGTCTTCCATATTATAACTAAGTGATTTTCACTGGGGATTATCTGAGTAATTTTTGCAACATTTAGATAAAGTACTCTTTGATTCAACCAAATGTTGAAGAACAAAAAAACAAAATAAAACAACAGAAACATTTTCTCAAGCTGCTGAGTTGTAAATAAGAAGATAGATTGTTATTATCCTGTGCCACTATATCCAACACTGCAAATGCAGTGATGAGTTTTGTTACTATCTGAAGTCTTCAGTTTCTGAGCATTAAGGACAGCAACGATAAAAAGAAAATTACCTTCTTGAGATTAAGAGCTTAAACTTTAGATTATACACATGGAACAAATCTGTTTCCAGAGATCACACCCCATTTTCATAGGAATCACCCTAAAATCTGAAGTTGGAATAACCATACATCTCAAAGATTTTCATTTATGATACACGGAGGAAGACACTTTTTCATAAAATGGAAGTTTTAAATTGAATCTCTGTGATATGAAATTCTAAATTTTTGTCTCAAACCGATTTCCTGACTTTTAAAAGAATGTATATTTATCCCCACTTGTAATCTGCCAAATATTAAGCTAAATGCATATTTAATATAATTAAAAGCAAAGATACAGAATCCTGACAGGTAAATTTTTCTGGCACGTTTGTCTCAGTCCCTCACCTGTTAAAAGATCAAACACTGTGTGTGCTCTGATAATAACCTGATGAATGAGGTTCCCATCTCCACCATACCAACAGCCACCTCATCCTCTACAAAGGTCAACTGCAACCTGACGTAAATATAAATATTCCTTTAGGTCTAATTAAAATAGAGATAGTCTACTTAGGTAATTGGAAAGAAATGTTTCCAGAAACTTAAAGTTACTTAATAAAGAAATCTAATGAAGTTTCTGTCCTAGACTATCTTTGGTTTCCATTAATTTTAATAAAGCTAAGATTTACCTGCACAACTACCAAAAAAACATGCCCAATTGTTACAAAAATGCACACGAAACACTTCAGAAGCAAACAAAACTGGGTGAACTTCTGTGTCAATCAATGGTAGATGAGTTATAACTTACTCTGGAAACATGGCTACTTATAAAACCACTTCTACTCATAATAGCTCAAATATACAAAAAGTTTCTAAAGATCTATCAAGAGCAAAGGAAAACATATACACCCACCTATTTTGTGTGTGTGTGTGTTTGTGTGTGCGTGCAGTGCTTTGCAATTATTAATTTGCAAAGAAATTATTTTATTTAAAATCAAATACTATATTTCTAAGAAGCAACAGTTACCAGGAATCTGAGGTCCTTTAAATGTGATCATTTCACCTTATCAAAGCAATGAATGTTCTTCATCCTTTGTTTTCTGTTCTGCATCTGCATTAACATGGCTGCTAATTATATTAGCCTGGTGGCACATAAAGTCTGAATGGGAAAAATCACATGATTGTTATATAACTTCCTAAAGATTCAAATGTATACTCGCTTAGACCGGACACTCCTATATTACAGGTACCTCTATTTTGTTAGAGAACTTAGCTTTGATTCAGAATTTCTGTTCCATAAGCGATGTAGCACTTCTCCAATACACCGTCGCATATATGCACACACATGAACAAAGACACATACACACAGAAATCTTTAGCCTTATCGTGCCACTTTGTATATTTAGCTTTCTCATTTGTATATTTACGTTTTCCCAAAATTGTTAAGTTCTTGAGAAGTTTGTGTTCATCACACAAAATGCCACATAGATCTAATGCCTACGACCCCCAAAATAAAGCCCTACTATGCTAAATGATTAAAAGTTAAATCACATTTTAAAAATTTTAAATTGAAAATAGCATAAGATTGCGCTTACCCACCCACTCATTCCCACAGTTTTATGATTTTACACAGTGAATCAGCAAATGTATTCTTTTCTGAATCATATATGAACATAGGAATGTTTTGAAACTGTTCACACAATTTGGCATACTTGGCCTAACCAGTGGTTTAACAAAGTAAACTCTCCCATTATTCTGATTAGCTTTATCATTAAGAGTAAAAATCCTTTATTGCAAAAATTAAACGAATATGTAGCAAAAAGAAATAAACTGGTTTACACATCATTGAAAAAAATATTACATTCTTAAAATTATATTTATAGTTCCACCTTCTTTTTCTTATAACCAAGTGCCTAAGTAATTCACAGATCAAAATACGCATCATGAGATAACTTTCCTGGGGAAGAAAAACACCCCAAGACAATATGAAACAAAAAGCACTGCTTCAGCTATATAGTAAACAAAACAACAAAAACAATAACAACAAACACTCCTGGGCTTCAAGAGGACTGATAAACAATGAAGACCACTTAAGGAATTCTTCCATCAGTTTCAAAGCAAATCCTTGCTCTTTTGAACACTTTACTGGTTGGGCTCTCAGAAATCTCCTTCAGTCTAGTAGTCCTTTCAGCCTTTATGAAACAATTGTTAGAAATGTGGATGGCTTTTCAGATGAATTTATACTTTCCAAGGAAAGCTATTTGATAGTAGGAGTGAGCAACTACTCCTACCTCAAATTAACCACTTACAGTAGTATATTTTTCACCTATAAACTATCCTCAACCCCTCCTATTGCCCTTAGAGAATTTAAATTCAGAGACTATGACGTTGTCTATTACTGGCTTCTTGCCTCTTTGCAAATGTACAACATTCTTCAAAAAGTATATAGAATTTTTGAGGAATGTTATACATGTCTATTCCAGGAGCAATTACACACATAATGTAAGACAGAATATTTTTCGTTAGAATTGTTTATAATAATTGTGATTTAAAGGCTACTGATTCAGTTTATGGCAGTGGTGTTACTGAGTTTATCTAAGTATTTCTCTTCAATCTACATACTTTTAAAACTCAACGTGTCTTCTAGATCAGACCGCCGTAAGGATACCATCTGCCCTACACAGTGGTCTGTTAAAGCATTATACTTAATATTCCTTGAAAAATAACAAACGTCAGTGAAGAAACAAAGATACTGCAAAAAAAAATAGTATTGGAGGAAAAGTCAAAAATTCCCTATCTCTCTGTTTTAACACCTGTATAGTAAATTATATGACAACCACGCTGTTACAATAATAGGAATGCAAAGCATAAAGGAACACGAGATACACCTTGCTTTGCTTAAAGAAATTAAAGACAAGTTTAACCCGCACCTGCCAAACTGTCTTCAGAGGAATAAAAATAGGTGGGGTGGAAAGGCTCACCTCTCCTGTACCCCACAGTGCCTCTCCCTGAAATCATTTTAAATATAGACAATATATCTGTCACCTTTTTCTCTTTTATTTTTTCCTTCCATTCTAATCAATGGCAGACCCTTTACTGCACTCCCCAGCCCAGTGTGTCAAAGGCACATTACAGAATAAGAGGACCCAAGTGTCACTTACCAGTTGCATGCCACAGATAAAGATAAGCGTGCACCTGCCACTGCAATAACCCATGGTTTCCGAGACCCCTGCCACAGCCAGACTGTCCCACGTCGGCCACCGTCGAGCCCCCACTTTATCCAATCAGATCGCGGGGAAGGACAGGCAAACCTGCCGAGGGCTCGGGGGCTCCGGGCTGCTGGTGCCAGCGTCCTGGGAAGTGACAGGCATTAGGACCTGCTGGCGCGGCGGCGGCGGCAGCACCAGCCGCGCCCGCCAAACATACCTTCACTCGCTCGGTGCACACGCCGCGCCGCGGGCAGCGCCGCCCGCGGAGACGCGCCCGGGGCCCGCAGGGGCAGCAGCGGCAGCCTCGCAGCGCCGCCGCGCCTTCAGGCATCTGGCCGCGAAGTTTCGCCCCCGCCGCTCCTCGCGCCGGCTCGCCCCACGCCCCCCAGCGCGGCCGCCGCCCGACGCGCGCTCGCCCCGCGCTCTCCGCGCGCCGGCTTTGGGGGCGGCAGAAGCGCGCGCGGGGCGCTGCCCGCCTCCCTGCGCCGCCCGCGGCTCCTCTGCGCCCGGCGCTGCGGGGCCAGGCCGGCGGGGGCGGGGCGCAGGCCGGGCGGGGGCGTCCGGGCTCCGCGGTCCCGGGCGGCGGCGGCGGCGGTGGCTGCCGCACGCAGTGATGCCAGGTTCGCGCCGCGTCCCTGCAGCGGCGCTGCCCCTCCCCTCGCCCAAATGTGCTAATCCTCCTACAACAAGTCCTTCAACTGCTCCCCGCCGCCCCTTCCCGAGACGTAAACTTCTTGCAGCTCCGCAGGGGCTGCAGCTGAGGGGCTGTTGGCGACGCTGTCTAGGCGGGAAGAAGCGGCGCAGAAGCGGTGACTGCGGCGGTGGTGACGCTGGGGACCGCGGGGCGAAGAGTCCGGGCAGCAGGTCCGTGGCTTCCGGGGCTTGCGTGGGTCTTGCTCCCGCAGCCGAGCCTGAAGCACTAGGCGCGAGCGGGCCGCGTGTGTGCGCCTGTGTATGTTTGGGGAGAAGGCACGAAGAGGAGGGCTAGAGAAGGGTGGTGGAGTGATGAAATAGGGGTGCAGCCGCGGCATCCTGACCGGTCGGAAAGCCCGCCTGGCGGACGGGTAGGAAGAGGGGAGGAGAAGGGGTGCCGCGGCAGCAGACGCACTTCCAGCCGCCCAGCGCCCGGCTCGGGAGGATCTGCAAGGGCCGGAGCGTGGAGAGTTACGGAGCCGACCCTGCTTGGGAAAAGGGGCCGGGTTGCTGCTGGAGTTGGTGGGGAATTGGGGAACCGGAGAGAGTAGGGACGCAATGAGTTGCCGTTGCTGCTTCAAACTGTTTTCACTCGAGAAATTAAAGAATCAGAGACAATTTTAGCACTCAATTACTACAGCTTTAAGAACCGTCCCAGCTGGGTGTGGATTCCCGAAGGTGGATGCTCCAGACCCGGCTCCGGAGCGCCGGCCAGAAGCTGGGCATAGGCTCCTGCAAAGACCCGCTTCGGAGCCTGCTGCTGCCACCTGCGGGCGGAAATCTGAAGAGCGAAGCAAGTTGGTCCAGGTGGCGGCCCCTGGGGTCTGGGTATTCAAGGCTCTAAGGGTCAAGTTTCCTTTATAACCCCTGGCAGCTAGTGAACGTTATTACTGACTTTCGCAGGAGGTGAAAGGGTGATGTGGACATCTGCTGGGGAAATAAGTCAATGAATGAAGAGCTGAGACTGATGAGAAAAGAGAAAAGGAAACCAAAAGCAAGCGTGCCCAACACCCCATAGGATAAAGACAGATAAAACGACATCAGGCAAGGAGCTTTCCAGAGCAAATGGGATTTGGCCCTTCTGATAAAATGGCATTTGTGTAGGATAATGTTATGATGGGAACCACAAATAAGGATCCCAAATGATTGCTTCCTTTGAATAAATATTATGACATATCAGAATGACTAAATATAAAGAAATTGAATAGAGCATAGGGACGCTAGTCTCCAGAAGCCTGGTACTGAATTTTCAGAAATGACTCGTCAATCGTAGAGAGCCAAAAAGGGATTTGATCTGTTAAATTTTTGGAATGAAAGTATTTTATTACTGTAATGTAAATGTCTGCTTTTAATCGCCCTATTTATAAATGGGCTTTTCTCTGAAAAGTGTCTTTCAATGTTTAATGGAATTAAGAGAACCCAATCTATGCTCTTACCCACTGCCAGACCTGGTAGGTAATACCTGCTCCACAGCCCTTGGTAAAAGGAAGCCAGAGGTGTCTTGTACAGATATTTTTTAGTTGTTACTATTCTGCCTTTATACACATACTAGCTGTTCAATAGCTGCTGGGGATGCAGGTATTTTGTACTGCCAAACAAAAAGAAAGCTGTTAAGTTGATGTTGAATATTGAAGAAACTCTTACCATATTGCAAAAAGCATTGTATTACCTTTTTGAATTCATAGGAGCAGCAATGCATGTGAATCCAGCAATAATCCTGCAATGGTTTCCCTGCAACACAAGGGCCCTGCCCATAGTCCCTGAATACTTGCCTTTCTGCACATGCCCACCTTCTTTCTTCAAGCACTTGGCACTATCTGTCTATAGGCTCTTCCTAGCCACAGGAGGTGCTTGACTCCAGAATGAAGTTACAGCTGTGAGAACAATTCTTGCCCAATAATGGATGGGAGTTGGTAGATCAATGCCCCAACTTCTCAACCTAGAGATGGGAAATCCTGAGACATACTCTAGTTACATCATTAACTTCCCCACCAGGATTGAGCCCATCATGCCCATGGTTGACCATATTGGTTCATTCATGCACCCTGAATTAGCTTCCTTCCCTTCCTGCCTTATTTCCCTTCTCCTCTACCAGTGTTCCCTGGGTTCACCTCCAAAATAAATCACTCATATCCTTGTGTCAGGACTGCCTCTTGAGAAGCCCAACATAAGGCAATCTGCAAGGGCTTTTATTCTTGACATGACATCATAGCCACATTATTCTTAGAGGAGTGAACCAGATACATGTTTGGTGTTGAACATTTATTGTGTGCACCTACTCCTTTACTCCGTGCTACACCTGCATCATCTCATTCATTACTCACAAGAAACCGATGAGTTAGAAGCTCACTTGAAAGATACAGAAAGATCTAGAGAAATGAAGTATCTTGATCACAGATGCACATGTTCTTGGTGGCAGAATTAATGTGTGAAGGCACATCTGTGGGACATCAAAATTCACTTTCCAAACCACTGTACTGTACTTTATTAATATTTTACTATACTTGTCATTCTTTTGGAATTCCATACAGAAATGACTTAAAAATATTTAAGAGAGTGATCACACATATTTTATCCCTTTTCCCAGCTTTATTGAGGTCAGATTTTGTTATCTCTAAATTAAGTTCACTTTGCATCCTCTAGATACGGTATAGGCAAAGCCTGACTTATGAAAAGTTGCCCTAGATAGGGATACAGTTCCATTCCTTAAGGTGGCTATGTCCTTTCTGTTCCAGTTCCTATTATCCTTGGAGCCTTAGGCGAAAAGACTATAAAGAGAATCCCAACTGTCCCATTGAAGTGCATGAAGGAGAGAGATGTCTCAAATTGGAATGTCAACTGCACTTTCATTTATAAATAGTCATACACTATACAGCTATATAAGGCTTTCCTTGACTAGTCTGGTGATATAACTATTGTTAAGTATCTTGTTTCTGTGGGGAGAATGTGTCATATTTTACACATCTCCATCTGAGTGACCTTGGCATCCTACTTTAAAGTACCTTTCAAGGTTATTTCCCACCTATTATCTCATTTATCTCTCAGAACAATTCATGGAATCCAATAGATAACTCAGCCAGAAAGTTGCTGTCAGCTCAACATCCAATCACTTGAACAAGAGCAGGAGTTTAAGTCTGGCTTTGTAACACCACTGAACAATTTCACTCTGAGTTTTACTGTTCATTATAGTTTAAAAACATAAAGGCAGCAATTAACTTTATAGTCACAAACCAATAAAATTGGTTCATTGAATATTTTATACAAACTTGGATTTTTTTTCTTGTTTAGAAAATAATGGTATTTTCAAAATAAGTTTTAAAACAAAAATTATCTGGGGCGCCTGGGTGGCTCAGTCAGTTAAGTGTCTGACTCTTGGTTTCAGCTCAGGTCACAATCTTAGGGTAGTGAAATTGAGCCCCGAGTTGGGCTCCTCAGGCTCCATGCTCAGTGCAGTCAGCTTGAGATTCTCTCTCCCTCTCCGTCTGCCCGCACCCACTTGCTCACTCACTCTCTCTCTCAAAAATAAATTCTTTTAAAAAAGAAAAAGAAAATAGAAAAAGAAAATCACCCATAATCTTTCTACCCAGAGATAATCTGTCATTTCTGCACAAACCATTTTTTGTAAAAATGGGACTATATCATCTGTAATATATTTTAATCTGCTTTTTTTTTTCACTTAATAATAGATCAATAACATATGTCCAACTCATTAACTATTAAGCTCATGAATTCTGCAGCCAATTTGACTTCATATTCCAAGCTCTGCTGCCATTTACCAACCATGTGATGTTAAGTAAATCACTTAGCTTTCTGTGCCTTAGTCTCATAATCTATAAGGGGTAAGGAGTAGGAGAGTAATAATGCACATATACCCTAGGGTTGTTGAGAGGATTATGTAAATGTCAATATATGAAAAGCTTTCAAAACAGAGCCTGGCACATACTTAACATTTTAAGATTGTTAATTATCATTCTGCATACAATGTAGCTTTAATCACTATATAACATTCTAATGTAAGCAAGTATCCCAAATATTTAATTCTTATCCTTTTCTTAGACATAGAGGTTTTGTGGTGGGCAAAATAATGGCCCTTCAAATATGTCCACGCCATAATCCTGAGAACCTGTGAATATGTTATTTCACATGGCAAAAGAGATTTTGAGCACCAGCTAAGACCTTTGAGATGGGGAGAGCAGCCTGGATTATCCAGGTGGGCCCACTCTAATTGTTTGAGCTCTTAAAAAGAAAACTTTTGCCAGCTGGTGAAGTGGAGGGAGACAGAGGGTAATGGAAGAAATGGAAGAAGAAGGTCAGGAAGATGCAAGGTGAAAAGTTCAACCCACCACTGCTGAATTTGTTAAAAGACGAAGAGGGGCAAGAGTCAAGGAATGTATGTGTCCCCTAGAAGCTAGAAAGGATAAGGAAATGGAGTGTGTCCTCCAGCCTCCAGGAGGAATGCATTCATGCCCCAGCT